CAGCGGGATGATCCGTGTCAATCATAAACCCTGTCACCACAGCCTCCCTCTGTCTCCTCGGAGGTGAACGACCCGGTGGTCAGACCTCGTCTTCTCTGAAGGACCGTTCTTATCAACGTTCCTGTTCCACGGCCAGGAACTTTACGGTACTCGTTAAAAATGTACTTGTACTTCACCGACGCTGACGCTGCGCTAAAAACCAACTGGGCGGCGTTTCTCTAAAGGAGGTTCTGGACCCAGGAGTGGCTCAGGGTTAGAGGGACTGTATTTATATAAATATACTCTAATAAGAAGAATCAAACTGGTTTAGTTTTTTATTTAAATTGTATTTATTGCCACCAGGTGGCGTTATTTGTTAGACACAGGTGTTAATGTCTCTGTGGCAAAAAACATTTACAAAAAAGTCAAAGTATTTCCAGGTTTTAGGCAAATAATTTATCAAACAGTGACGACGACTAAATTAGAAATGTTACCTGTTAATCACAGAGTTTAATTTGGTCCTAAATCTTCAGGTTTAATTCACATTATATTTAATCATGAGATTTGAAATGTAAACAAATATTTGGATAGAAACAAAGTGTAAACATAAGGCATTCAAAGCATTTGAACAAAAACAAAAACAAATCACAGAGTTTAAAAACAGATATTTCACATATTGCACTCTTTATGTTTGACTGTAAATGTTGTGGTCAATACTGACTGTGGGAGGAGTCTCCTGTAGAAATGAAGTGAAGCAGAGAAACTTCTCATACTGTTCACTGGCACAGTGGGGGTCAGGGGTCAGGGGTCGGGGGGCAACACAACAAATTAAACTGAAGTCAAATGAATCAGGGTTTTTCTCTGGAATCTTCTTCAAGTCTCAGTTCTGTTTGTGTGAAGAAAGTTTTGGTTTCAATCAAAAGTCCAGGTGGAGTGGAACGGCTGTCTAAGGTAGTACCCATGTGATCCAGCAGAGGGCACTGCAAACACTACTCAACTTCAGACCCACTCTTTTCCCATCAGAAAAACACAGTGAAGTTTCTGTGTTTTTTTATGTTTATAATAAAATAGTGAGTTATATAAATAAATATTATATTTTTTAAGTATCAATAAAGAGTTGTTTTTTTACCACTGCTTGAAATGCAGTTATTCAGTGTTTTAATGTTAGATTTCCTGCAAAGTAAAAATTTAATTTCTCTGATTCATTTAATTTGATCAGATTTCTTTTTTGCTGCAGAATTTTTTTTTTTTTTCTAAAAATCTGAAATGTTATAAAACTTATTTCTTCTGACGTCTTATCCACAGGTGGCGCTCCAGGCTGAGCAGTGACGTGTGGAGGTGTGGAAGAGCTGACGGCCCAGATTGAAGGAGGTGAAGTCGTGACGTCAACACAGGAACCTGCAGCGACCTGCGATTAGAACCATGTAGAACTGCAGTACTTATGTCAGGACCAAGAACTGTACTGTACTGTACTGTACTGTACTGTACCGTACTGTACTGTACTGTACCGTACTGTACCTGCTACTGTTCACTCTCCAGCGTCATGGAGGTCTGACCTGCACCTGAAGACAAACGTGTGCAGAGAAGAAGAAGAGACTGAACCTCAGGAACAGACCACACACCATGGGTTTAGAACCCGTCCTCCCCCTGGACGGTCCGTGTCATCTCACCCTGTTTGTTCCTGTTGTTCTCCAGTGTCTGATGTGAACTGGTACTGATCACGGTCTGGCTCGTCTCCCCTCCGTCAGCAGGACTGGGAATCGAACAAAACACGTTTGTTAGGAAGGAACCAAGGTCGAGCCACGGTTCTTAATCTAAGGTGCGTGTACCTCTTCTGAAGTGAAAGACAATTTGACATTTGACCTCTGCATTTTACCCATCTCCACAGTGAACCACCAGGACACCACTGCCCAAAGGAACGCTGGAGGATGCGCGCATCCTCCAGCGTTCCCCCCCACCAACCCCTGTCTAGGAGTGGGTGAGTCACTTTGATTTTTACTACTGTTGTAGTACTGTGTGTGACTGACTTGAAGTACCAGTTCTAGTACTTGTTCAGTACAGTCTGTAGTATTTGTCTGATCGATCGAGTGTCATATTTTATTAGGAATAATTCTCATGTTTTAGTCTTTGTCCTGTCGATGTTTGAGTCTGAAAGACGTATCATTTTGAAATATTGACAGATTATCTTTAAATGAAGAAAGTAAAATAACGTGACTGGGGCCCCCTGCTGTACAGGAGGTCACATGGAAAAATAAAACACAAACCTTGTGCCATTTTGCTGGAGGACAGTTTTGGCTTGTTCTGGATCCACGTGAACCAGTCTGGTGTCAAAGGACTCTCCGTCTCCCAGACTGAAGAACACACACACACACACACACACAGATGTTGGATTAGCAGCCGTTGTCTTCTGTACCTGTCTAGAGACATTCTGTCCTGGTCTGTCCCTCGTCCCTCGTCGTCTTCGTGAACTGAACTCTGTAAAACTCACCCTGAGAAAATGGGAAAAATCCAGTTTTTCGCTTCTTCTCCAAAAACCTGCGCCACGTTTCGGCTGCAGCCCAGAGAGAAGCCGTTCTTGTCCGGGCCGTTGGAGAAAACTGGAGCTCTGAACGCCTCTGGAGTGGAGAATAAAAACGTTAGCGGACCACGCGGGGATGTCGGCAGCTGTGGGTTTGAATCCCGATCCACACTGACCTATGGTGGTTCTGTTCTTCCCGACGAGCCACAGGTGGTAACTGAGCAGCGACAGGACGCTGACGAAGAACACGGCCGCCACGAAAAACAAAAACAGGATGTGGAATTTGGCGTGTGTGTCTGGAAGCTGTTTCTGAAGAGAGAAAAAAGACAGAGTTACACTAGAACACAACGTACATGTACGTGTGTGTGTGTGTGTGTGTGGTACTTACCGTCCAGAACTTGATGAAATACTGGACCACCGTGGTCCAGATGACCAGACAGTAGAGCGAGGCGTAGGCCAGGAACAGGATGAAGAACTTGTAGTTGGAGAACCCCACACAGTTGTTC